AAAAAATTTAAGTGGACCACACCGAACTGTAGTTGATCACGTGATGTCCACCTGGGGAAGCGCCGTCGCGTCGCATTGTGGACGACGGGTTTGTCTTAATCCTCAACCGGCGTGGCTGATGCCCAACTTCAAGCGTACCAGATCCCAGCTCGCTCTCCCGGATTTTGACTTTCACCAGCTGTCCCGCTCTCCTCTAAAGGATGCTAAATCTGCGCAGCGGAAGCTCTCCAGTTCACCTCACCGCTCGACCCGGCCTAACAATGATCTCCATCCGGAGAACAGCTCGAAGAGGCCCTCATCTCCTCTTAGAAGGGCCCCATTTCCAGATGAACCCATGAGGAAGCGTGTTCGAAACGAGACCCCGAAGAGTGACGCCTGGTTGAAACCACTTTCGAACTCGCAAAGAGATTCTGGTCTCATCCATTCGAGGCCACCTCCCACTGCAGTCCGACGCTCGCGATCCGTGCCTCCAATACAGCAGTCTCCTTACTTTAACCTTCATGGACTTCCTCAACGCGAACAGATGGATCGTCAGCAGTCTTTTTCTGTGCCTCACTTGTCTCATGCTAGACCATTGAATACAGCGGAATCCTCTTTTTCTGTTCCTGCTTCGAGTAGCACTGGTGCATACAAGCCTAGAACACCGCAAGGTCTAAAACCGCCCATTTTGATGCCACCTATGTCTCCGTTAACGCCACTTCCCGTCACTCCTGCTGTTGATAGACATGTGGCCACCTCGTCCACGCGTTTTGAGTGTCTCATATTCCCAACCACAACAAATAGCCATGACGTTCCGTACGCGAACCACGAGCTTATATCCACTGTGCCTGTCAAGTCTCAGATATCCGCTGCCCCGTCCAGCCGCCTACCTCGTCCAGTGTCATCGAACAAACAAGACCGGAATGAACCGTCAGAATCACGTAAAACAAACCCGAGTTCTTCGAAGTTCACTGCAGCCGCCAACTCGCGTATTACTCGGAGCACCTCGAACCGACAACGAGAGGGTACACCGGGTGGTGGGGATCAGGTTTCTGCAAGCGCTAAAGGCCAGTTCACTGCAAAGCGAGCTGAAAGTGGTGCGTGGATATTCTAAGAGGACGACCGAGTCTAATTCAGTGCGCGTGTAGACTCTGGTCCAAACTCTGTATTTAAGCCTGCGTTGTCCAAACGGCAGGCTTCACTACTCTCATTCGTGAGGCCGCCCTCGGATCCAGTTCGTGGGAGTCGTGCGGCGACAGTGGAAACCGCGACTATCTCAGCTCATGCTACACATCCACCGAAGTCGTCGCTATCGTCGCTATCCTCTGCATTGCAGAAGCTGAGCATGCCCATGCCTCAGCGGTCAAGCACTAGCATGGGCTTCAATCATGATGCCAACGACAACCGGAAACATGAAGCGATCTTTAGCCACAAGACTACTGATGACATCCCATTTGGGACGTCAATCAAGCGCAATGGTCCATCAACTTCCACGTCCCGGGCCATCTCCATACCTGCAACACCGGTCCGCAAGTTAACGAGCATGAACCACCTGCCTCCACCGTCTAGCACGCGACAGACAACACTAATGCTGCCTCCTCCTGCACCTGGGTCGAATGGTGTACCCTCGCGCCCTGGAATGGTTGTTGGCCCAGCGAAGGCAAGCGTTGGAGCGAAAGGCCATCCTGTGGCCAGGCCCGGTCACGATCGTTCGCGCTCCTATGGCAGAGCATTCATGGGCGCCTTCGGCGCGAGGAGGCTCATGGGGAGTAGTCGGGTAACTCAGAAAGCGAGCAAACCAACCAGCTTGCCCAGTGTGGAGGGCAGCCCTGTGAAGTCTGCTCTTTCCCACCATGTCCGACTCGATAGCGGTCGGTTGGAAGCTTCATCAAACGTCGGAGAATGGTCAGGACATGCTTCCGGAAGCACGCAGGATCCGGAGCGTGCGCCTTCTTCGTCGGGGATTTTCGCTGGCGAACGTCGGGAGTCTGCTACGCTGGAGTTGCAATCACGCAGATGGGAAAATTTGCCGGGGATTTCCCCGCGCAGGAGCATGTCAATAGACTCTGAACCTTTGCAACCACATACGCCCACCACGTCATCACAATACCACATAGTCCCTTCGACATTCCACGGAAAGGGAAAGTCTAACTCATCTGAAGCTGCCGATAGCCGAGTGTCTTCCCTGAATGGGAAGATGCACAGCGCACCCGGACTCATGAGGCGCGCAAGCAGCTCGGGTGCCATTGTCTCCACTCGGAGTCTCAGTTTACCCCCCTCCACCTCAAACGGTTGCATCGATATCCTTTCAGATTGCACGATTTTCATCGACGTCCGTACGGACGACGGGGACGACGCCAGTCCTTTCTTCACTGACATGCTTAGTGGTATGGGTGCAAAGGCGAGTCTGGGCTGCAGCTGCAGAGCTTCGTTCTGATTGCAAGCTGCCTTTGCATAGATATTATCTCGCGTCGGGCAGACTTGCACGCATATTGTCTACAAGAACGGGCTGATGAGCACGCTCACTCGATACCGGTACGCGCACAGTGCCTTTGCTCCCATGCATGTGCTTGACAATCACACATACAGGCTTCTCAAAGAGCCAAGACCCTTTGTCGTCGGCGTCGCATGGGTGGTACAGTGCGCCGAGCGCCGCTCGCATGTCGACGAGACCAAATACTTGATCGGTCTGGAAGGGACCAACGTCGCGGGTACGAACAAGGTTTGTTTCAATTCCTCAAGGCATCACAGTTGCTTGATAGCTATTTGCACAGCGACGGAGATCGATGCTTCCTAAACAACTGCAGTCTCCGGATCTTGGTTCGCCCAACGACGGCTCCTCTTTTTCAAACGTCGCAGGCACCAGCTCAACTCCCGTACAGACGGCACAAGAGTCCGTCGGCGAGACGTCATCTACGCGTGGGTACACCAAACTGCTGTTCCGGGTCATACGCTTACATGTCGCGTTTAAGCTGTTGTGGCCAATGGCGACGCAAATGACTCGCCATCAGGGGGTGCACTTGCTCTGCTCCCGCTAGCGGAGGCTCGACGCCGTCGACGTGTTCTTTCCCGCGTATAGCTTGGCATCGAGGGGGTCGTCGGAAATACCAGTGTAATTGCATCGCGGCTCACTCACATTCTAAGTAGATCTACTGGACTCTATACCTCGGGCGCTCATTATGGATAGAACACGGTCGCAACTGATGTAATGAACCTCCATCTCTGGGACAATTGGATGCATTCTTGTTATACACGTTCATTATGTGTTCTCGCCAATGAAAGTTTGCAGTCTATCATGAACACACTCGTGTTGACGATGGAAGCGGCTGCAGTTCAACCTCGCCGGCCCCCAGAGATGACAGGTGTCTGCTGCCTGTGTAGGAATGCGACAGACCTGCTCCATGTAAGTCGTTCATTTTGTTTATTTTTTTTCTCGCAAACGATGGCACTCAGGCCACTCAGACGTCCGTCGAAGCAGCGCTTTTTGTCTAGTTCGCGCTCAGGTAGTAGGTCTTTACCTGGTTATTACCCGATAAGCTACGTTTGATGCGGTAGAAGAGCAGCTGGAGAGGACGTCTGTCATCACACATACTCGGACAGTTTCAACGTGCACCCATCGATCGCCATAAATTGTCATGAAACCTGACGTGCCCTTCACAGGAAGCATGAATGCGTTGCTCGATTATATCCTCTCAGATACTATGATGCATGCTGTGCAAGGCAGTGAGACCAGTGCGAGCGCTCACTACTAGTGCACTAGCTTCGCAAGCTGACAGTGAGTCATCTGGATATCCATTCTGCATGCTTCATGGATCACTTCTGTGAATCTATTGCGATGCTTTGCGGATATATGCATATTTGCAGTAGCAGGAACGGTGTATTAGCCGGTCTGTCGTTCTCGATGGCCTTTTCAAGGTTTTGATCTTGCAGTGAGTGTAAACCTTGCTCTCCGATAGACTCATGGGCGAACGCTACGCTGAATAGTGGGCCTAGTTCTATCTGGGTCCATTCTCAACAATACCGCCGACAGATATGAGCGTTCAATGCCGTTCCGTCTAAGGTGTCAAAACAGTCAAAACATAGCCGCCGTTGATACAGGCACCGCTATGCCGTATACTATCTGGCTTCCGATAAGGTCGGTTATGGCTGCCAATTGCTGATGACGAGGTGGCATATCCCGAGCGGTTGCGTTACTGTTTTGAGATGGCCGCATGTCACGTAGTGGGGCAAAGATACTGAGGGAGACATTTTGATATTGCTTTTACACGGAGAAGGGAATTAGAGCGGAAGCCCGGGGGAAGGCTCGCTCTTGATCAATTTCTACGACGATCTTCCAGGGGTTTTCTAGAAGAGATTTGCAAGAAGGGCGCGTGAGAAATGAAGTGGTCTCGGCGCCGCACAACTGAGCCGACCATACAATCGCAAGTGTTCATAGATTGCCGATCAGGTTCGTTGAATCAATCCCTCATATAATGTAGTATGCGCCTTTTCCGTTTGAAAATAGCGGGAGAAAAACAATGACTGACCATGGTGACGAGCGATCACAGTCGGATTACGCAGTTAGGCGATACTGTGTGATAGGTTGATGGCCAATAAGTTCAGAAAGCTGATCCCCTGAGGCGCAGACCATGGAAGGGAATCACAGCATTATAGAACCTCAGGAAGATCGTCTCTGGGAGGTGAGCCCATACGTATAGGAGGGGCAGTGAGGCTATGGGCCATAGAAACGGCTTCTGGCCGCGTAGGAGTGAAAAATATAAAAGACTACATGATACCACGACATCGGACTGGTACAGGGACCAGTGCAAGCTATGCCCAAGTACGACTGCTGCGCGACGTGAGGGGGAAATGACTCGTCGCATATGAGAAAAGTTCGCCGCGCTGGCAGCGGCAGTGCAAGTGGACACAAAGCATAAGTAGCAGTACTGCATCGGCGCCACACTGGAGCGTCTGTGGCAGTGATAGCGGCCGTGTCATTGATTGACGCTCATGATGCTGTGTCACAAGTCTCACCTTGCATTGCTCCGTGCAACCCTGCTTGCACCGCATGGATCCGGATAGCGTGTGATCGGGATTGGCTATGCACGTCTTGAAATGGACGCCGGAAGTTTTTCTTGTAGATGATATAAATCGTCGTAGTTTGAGAGCGGTGTTCTTTACTGCAACACCCTCTCCCCTTTCTTTCAAGAGCACATGGGCCGCATGGACACTAATACTCGCAGAAGATCTCCGCAAGGTCGCAGGTCTGCTCGTTCCCATGCTGACTCGACGGAGGTCGTCACATACCGCTTGGGCGAGCGCATGGTATACGTTACTCCTGCGGAGACTTTCGAGGTCAGTCGCACTGGATCGTTCATTCACAGCAAGTACTCAAGCAGCCTATTGGAAACTCACAGCAAGCCGTGGCATTTGCAAAGCGTGTCTTTCCCGACCAACTTGCGACGATCGATCGCAAGCGGATCACATTCACCGTCAGCGTCGTTGCATCGCATGAAAGGCGCATGGTCGAAATTGGGCCGATGGCATGGAAGGCCGTTGTCTCCACTCTCGCCCAATACGAGATAATCAATGTTATCGTCCAACCCGAGGCAAGCGGATCGGATGACGGCTTGCCAGATTATTTGGACGCCACGAGCACGGATTCCAAACGGTCATCAATGCACTTGGATTTGCCTTCCCCCTCTGATGCGAAGTCGCGCAGTCCTTCTCCAACACCTTCTCGCACAGAGAAGGCACTCAGTTGGCTAGAAAGGCACCTACCATGATCCTTATGATACAAACGCTTGTTAGAAATTCTTGACTGGCCTTGAAAGGACGTACCCCCGGTCCCAGACGTGATCGCCTTGATACCTCATTGTAGTATTTGATCCAGCATCGAGCGCTTCCTGCATCTCAAAATGTTGCACATTGATACCCATATTCCACATTTCTGACTATTTCCGTTCACTCCCTGCACAATCTACCGTGTTATCTTATAATCCATATACTTGTATTTGATACGAACGTATGACCTACCTTACACATGCAGTCGCTACGTAGATCTGGCTTGAAATTGATGCTGTTCGGTGTACCTTCGAGAATCAGTCTCATGGGTTTATCCAATCGTCAGGCCACGCCGATCAGAGTCTCGTCAAATACTGATTCATGGACTGTTCTTGAAGATTCGGCGAGCCTATGTCAATTACACAGGCCCCGTACGTGGATGACAGCGCCGAAGCACTATTCGCACAAGGCCAATATCACCGGGCTGCAAATCGTTTTCTACATTTCTCCGGCCAACAACAGTCGCGTGCTATGCAATCTCGATTCAGAGCGCTGATGTCTTGTTGACAGCTCTGCAGCAGGCGATACTCCCCTTCTCGGCGAAATGGAGGCAACAGCTCCAGAAGCGGCTGGCCTCTACGCAAGTCGAAGTGAAACAGTTCTCCGGTCTCCGGTCTTGAGTTAACACTGCATAATTACCAAGAGTGCAGCTCTCCATTTCGAAGTCATGTGCCAGCTGCGACTTTTTCAAAGGGCCGGCATACACACGAGGGCCTTGTATCGAGTCGGACCCTGTAAGTCGGCGGATCACCGTGGTTTAACACCGTATGCGAAACATCGTTTGATACCGTACCTTTGGCAAGTATAAATTTTGCTCGCAGACGCGTTCGCCTGAACTTCTGTCCGTTATCACCGAGGTTGCATGGAAAGACTTGAGTGTCGATCAATGGGCCCTGTCTTGTAAGCAAAAACACAATAAGAAGCGATGCACGGGTGTCGCAAACTGCAGAGTGAGCACGCAGGCACACCATATCTGGTAGCTATGCGTTTACTATTGAATGCTCTGGCTGGATTGTGAGACATCTAAGCTTGTAACGAGATTCGATGACAGCATGGCCCAACATGAAAGCGACAAACTGTGGACACATGGGACAAAGCGCCCACGCGCGCCTGATGCACAGCAAATCCAGTGCTTAAGACACTTCCGTTGAATGGCCTCCAGACGTATCTGCATTGTTCAGAAACACAGCCGCTTCTCAAGCTTACCGGGCGTCCGCTTCCATTTCCGAGTCTCCCACGTGTGTGCTGCGCACAGCTCAGCAACGCCACCAAAGGCAGATCATATTCAATATGGAGGAGGTGAAGCTGTACACAATCGACATACGAACAACTTCATAGATGTGTCTTCTCAGAGCAGGTAAGAACAAAATAGCTGTACTTTCCTCAGTCTTCCTATCAGATGTGTTGGACGAGGGCGCTCACATTTAAAAGGCTGAAACGACAGCTCAAGCAATATATCTTACGTCTCGGAAGAGACGCACATTTTGCCCAATTGTGTTCGTCGTCAGCGTAGTTCCGTCTTCCATTGCAATGCATACCTGTAACATATACACCGGCACCACAGACACATAGGACCTATGCTCTGCTATGTCTCAGCAGCGCCTTGCTCCTAAACGTAGCATTGTACTGCAACAGGTTGTTGATATCCCTGACCCAGTCGTCCTCTTTCCCAGGGCCGGCCCCCTCGCCTTCAAGCATGTCGAGTGGCTCGGCAATGGACGAGCGGTTGATGCAGGGAATCGGATGCAATGATGCATGAACTGTGACCGCCTCGCCGGGACCTAGGACGTGCGAGACCTGGCCATCCATGGAGAGCCCTGCCGATGCACGGCTGCGCTCACTGACCTGCGTACGCCGTAGGACACCGAAATCGTCATCAATCGGTAATAGAATGAGATGACCATGCTTACCTTCAGCGTGAGCGACGATGAAGATGGGAATACGAGAGGGCGGAAGGACAAGCTGCGCGGGCATATCGGAGTGAGGACGAGGGCACTGAGAGATGGGTGGACGATGGGTCCACCAGCAGAGAGCGAGTATGCCGTTGATCCAGTTGGTGTCGAAACAATCAGCCCATCCGACTACCCGCCTCCCAGTCAAATCTACGATGTACGAGCAATTGTGATACTTACAACAGCCTCGGTCAGATGCTGTCCATCAACAAAAATATCGATCGTGATCAGATGCGGACTCGAGCCGCGGTGAAGCGCGACTTCATTCATGACCTGCCAGTCTATCGGTGGAAGTCAGCGTCGGCCTACAATCATCGAGACACAACCACTTCCATGCCTGACGGAGGGTTTCACGTACAAACCTTCGCAGTGTGCATTCACGTGCTCGCCATCAGCATTCTGGAATTTACAGGACAGCCTCATCCGGTGCAACACGGTGGCGCGTCCTTCGAAGGCGCTGTCGATAGCCTTGGCATAATCGTCGATATCTAATGATGAACGCAATTGAAATTATCAGCTAGGTAGTACGGGGAGCACGGATGTGAGCTACTAACGGAACGGGAGAAGGAATCCGAGGGTTCCCATGGAGAAGCTCAATACAGGTGGCACCGCGCCTACTTTGAACAGCGATGAGGCATGGAGTATTGTGCCATCGCCTCCAAGCGTTATGACAAGGTCAATTTTCTCGGCGTCGGTACCTATAAACAACCGGACCTCCAGTAAAGATCATTGATTCATTCGTACTAACCGTACCTGGATGCCACTTTTCTACGCCTCCGGGCATGTCCGGTCGGTCCTCATGGAAGATGCGTACGTCAGGGTACTTTTCTCGGAGATAGCTTGTAATAAGCTTCAGTCTATCACATGCATTGATCATGTCATGCTGTGCTCACGACAGTAGCGTCTCGATGGCATCTACGATGACTTTTGTTCGATGTTTATTGACAATGAGAACGGATTTCGGAGGCCGCTCGAACCTGAGGGATCTGAGGAAAGTTCTGTAAGTTCACTGGCCTCAAATGGCAGCACACGGTCAAAATAGCAGAGAGAGGAAGGTCAGAGTCACAATCGAGGCAACCGGCCTGTGCTGGAGGATGTGTTATGTCCACTCAGGATGCCGTTGTCCAACAATAGCGAACTCGAACTCGCTCGAATTAAGTCACCGTGAAGTTGACGTCGCAGAACCACCTCAACTCGCAAGGTAGGGAAGCTTCTGGTGATGCCTCATACAGAACCATATGGAACCAACAGGTAGTGTTCGATAGTCGATAGCGGTATGGTCTAGCATGGCGTGCAGCAAGTACACGTACGTTGCGAACGTCCGCAACTGAGGCATGGACCGAGTTTGAAGATGCCATGCTGTGCTATGTCGAGATAGGAAAGCTGACTTCTGTTGATGCCGCACAGCACAATGAGCGATAGAGTGATGTGCAAGCCATGTACATCGTTGTCGGAGAGCCGAATGGCAGAAGGAGAACATTGCGCGCGGCAAGGAGGCGTTGAGCAGTTAAGCGCCCATAATCGGCCTGTGGCGTCTCGATGTGCGGTCTGCCTCAGCCTCTCACACGCCGGGGAATGGTCGACATAACGTCTCCTCCCCACCTCGTCTTCGATTGCGCATATTACTATTTGGAGTCCGCATAGATACTCAGAAAAGCTGCTACTCTCACGCACACGAGAAATCGCTCGGAGTCATTGAGATTTGTTCCTCTGCGAGGTTAACGTCCCGTCGATTCGAAAGAGTACATACAGCAGGCTTAGTAGTTACAATAGACATCATCCATACACATAGACAATCATGCATCCAGCCCGGATAGGATTTCAAACACGCTTTGCTTCCGTGCCTGTCCTGCCGGCCGTACTTTCGATGGCGTAGGTGAAGCTGCAGCTTTTTTCCGCTCTTTCTTCGGCTTCAGGATCTTTTCAGCGAAAGCATTTTCTTGTCCCTCAACGCATGCAGCTAATAAGTTGTCGAGGAGGGTATTTGCACTCTGCGCGGTTCCATCTGTCAAGGCGGCATGGAATCGACGTCCAGAGAATACTGGCATTGGACTCGGCACAAGGTCTGCGAGCAGTAGGACTTGAGCCAATTGCCCGATGCATTCTGCTGCCATGCTGACTTGAGCCAAAAGCTGAATGTTGCGCTCCTGAACTGGTACTACTGAGTCATGAGCTTCCGCAAGATCTTCTTTTGTCGAGGTCCACGAAAATGCCGCTAGAAATGCCCTCGCCTCGTCCTTCGTCCACTTCTCCATTTCTCTGTCCTTGTTACCCTTGCTCTCCTCCGCGCGGAGGTGCATACGCATCACCGTCCATCTTACCGCAAGCACGGCTGCGAGCTGAGCCCCACGCACCCGCCTAGCGCTCGGAACATTAGAACTTAGTGCACAGAATAGGAACGTCATCCGCGCATTTTCCTCCCAAAGCTGCACCGGAAGAGCTGACCCATTTTGCGTATTCTGTTGGACAGAGACAGGGATAGGAACCGAAAGCTTAGCCAACACCGCGTCCAAAGGCGGCACAATCACATCCTCTGCAGCAAGGTGCGTTCCTCGGCGAATGTATTCGGTGACGACTTTCTGGACTGGTGGAGCCGACATGTCAGAAGAGGACTGTGCTGATGTGGACATCAACACACCACCGTTCGCATCCTCTTGGTCACCCAGCTGCTCCAACGCACCTCGCAAAGGAGCAAGGAGATCGTCATCACTCTCCTCCACGACATCAATGAGTTCGTCTTCCGAGTTTTCCTCTTCATTCGCATCCGCGTCTGGGTGTCGTGGCAGCCCGATGCCAGACTCAAGCAAGGAGTAGTACCATTCTCGGATGGGCCGCCCGATGCTCCTCGACACGGTCTCCTTGTCCGGATGTTCCAGGAACAAACGCGACCAAGCCGTGCCCGTGCTAAGAACATCCAGTATATGTGGATCCAAGTCGCCTCGACGGTAGGCAGAGAGGTACAACGCTCGTACGCGTGCATGCGGACCTTGCTCGTCTCCAAAATATCGCGGATGGGGTTCATCGCCATTGGCTGCATCGTATGCATGTGAGACAATCTCCCGTTCATTCTGGTGATGCGAAAGGAATGCGAAGAGAGGACATGATTCGTGGGCATGGATTGCACAAATGTCAGATGCCCAAGAGCCCTGCTCCCGGTCTTCCTCTGCAACACTGCCGTCCTCGCTAGTATCTCGACCGTCATGACGAGGCAACGCATACTGCAATGTCGCTTCGGCAATGCGCTCCACTATGGACTCTTTTTCGCCGGCGGCCGTAGTATCTGGAGGCCGCAGAAGCAACGCGGTCACAGCAGCATCGATCAACTCCATGACGCTACCAATCTGTCTCCTGTTCCTTCTTTTGGGCGCTGCCTGATGAGATGACATCGTTGTGGCAAGGATTGTATGGAGCGTTTTTGCCACCCGCGTGATCCGCTGCACTAAAGTAAGCTGCCTCTCGAAGAATAGCGACCGTAGGCTCCTGCGCGGCGAGCTGATTTGTGCAGAGAGTAAGGCCGCAGATTCGGACGTCCCAGTAAAGTCGTTTCCGACCAACGCCCCCAGAAGAGATAAAAGCGATACGGGGAGTTCTAAGCGAGACGCAAGTGAGGCGGGAGTGTAGACAGCGACCATGAGCATGAGACGAGCACTGGGTTCATTGGAAACATCTGGAGGCAGTAGGCCCCGTCCCGTTCGTTGTTCTGCGACGGTACGCTTGCGTGCTTTTGGTCTGCGTACCTTTTGGAACCCATCATCGTCAACTTCCTCGTCAGCCCCGCTGTAGATGGATTCGTTCACGCTATCTGTCTCTGACACAGCAATCGACGAGATGGCGTGCCAGACCATCTCGTCCATCGGAATGTATCCTTTGTAGCCTTCCGTATTCAAGATCACGTAATCCGAGTCCCGGCCCACGACGTACGCACCGAGACGTCCTGCGAGAGCGACTGCGTACGGATCGCCTTCTTCATCCGCAAAATGCACATCCAGCAGATGATGGTATTGTGTATTGGAAGTAAGATCAAGCAAAGTTCGTATGCACACGTTATATGCAAGGGGTGGGAGCATAGATGTCTCGTGCAGGAAACGAGAAGTCGATCGGGCGGCAGCAGAGGTTCTGAAGAAGAGCAAGCCACCGTGGATGTTAGTCTGGTTGGAACGAGCAATGATAGTGGGGAATTTAATGCGAGGGTAAGGTCCTGCGAAATGTGTCTCGTGAGCGAATGCTCTCGCTAAGGCCTCATGCTGTTCGTGCTCCAGGAAGGAGATACGAACATAATCGACAGAACTCACCATCGAATACAAACACCACTCGCAGCCCCACCCTAATCCATGCAGAGACAACCTGAGCTATCAGTTTACAAAAAACATCATATTCTCCACCATACACCCAGGGAAGGTCTGCGCAACGGATCAACTCGTAGATGAAACTGCATCGCCACGAAGACCCGAGCGTACTAAGCAGAACGCAGGTTGAGTTTATATATGTCACTACTCACGACCATCCGTCCACGACAACTGTCGTAAGGCATTCGTCGTCTCCATCGGCAAATTCAAGCGTGTGCGCGAGCGTCGCCTTGTTCTCGCGCAGGTATGTAGTCAGTCCCAGGATGCCCATCGTCAGAACGGTGTCGATCGAATCTTTCGGCTGCAGAAAATCTTGACACCAGCGAGGGAGGAAAATTTTCCGATGTAGACCGTCAAGCTTTTAAATTTCCAGGCTCAAGAACAATCTCTCTGCTGACAAAAAGCAGGAGAAGAAGAGACAAGAATTCATGACGGTAGCGCGATGGTAGCGCGATAAGCCCTGTTCTGATTTCTGATCAGATATTTAGCTATATATGACGTAATCTGACTCCTCCCATCAATCTCACCATTCACAACCTCGGTCAGCCAATTGACGGCAACTACATCCTCGCTACGGGCAACATGCGTATTCATCGCTTGAAACAATCACTGCACCCGATCACATGTGCCACAACTGGTGGAGAGCGACAACACTTGCTTTTCGACCAGCCATCTCCCAGCGCCGCTTTTTCAGGACTACCATGTCGTCTGATAAGGAGCCTACTAATTATCGCATCTCTGTTGGTCCGGATGGGAAGGCGATCATGGATCTCACGTTCGTCTCTGAGGCGCTCGGCATGCCCGCAGAAAGAGGATACGGCTGGGCACGGTTTGACTTTGGTGACCGCATTGGACCGAACGAACGCTATACGATTATGCGCAAATTGGGCTGGGGAATGCATTCGAGTACATGGTTAGCTCGAGACAGCGTGTACGTCAGTGTTCACAAGTTTTGGGCTGACATCAGCTGATGCTTCAACAGGGAGAATAATTTTGTCGCAATTAAGGCACTTACGGGGCACATCACGAGCCTCATCCCTACCGGACAATGTTGGGAGCCAGACGCACTTCGTCTTGTCTCTGCACTGCCACAATCGCCTTATTGCCAGCGTTACATTACCGAATTTAACGTCCCCGGGCGCGTCTCGACGGACGGAGATCATCTATGTATCGTTACACCCGTGTACGGTGGCGACGTCAGGGCGTTGGGTGACGCATTATGCGGGGAGAAACCCAGGGCCTTTCCCTTCCGCCTCGCAAAGCGCATCATTCTCCACCTCTTACGCGGACTCGCGCATGCGCACAGCCGCCAGGTCATCCACACCGATTTGAAGCATGACAACATCTTCTTCACGACTCAGATGGGAACCGAGGACATTGAGCGGTGGATTGCTGAGGATCCTCCTCGTCACCACGAGCCGGAAAGGTCGCAGGGTACCATTATCTGTACGGCAGTGTCCCAGCCGCTGCCTATGATGCCTATGGAGGAGGCGCTACGTGCTACGTACTTACTCGGTGATTTCGGAACAGGTAAATTAAGTCATCGTGCATCTCCCATCACCATTGCTCATATTCGAACCGATGTAGCTGTCCATTCAAAACTACACGTCAACCGCGTTATAACCGTTCCTCCTCTCCGGCCTCCAGAAGTGTTCCTTGGTGCAGAGTGGGACAAAAGTGCGGACATCTGGTCGTTTGGGTGTTTGGTTTGTCATTTGTGTCCATTGATTTAACTTGCGCCTCATTCATTCACCAGGCCTACGAGCTTATAAATGGCCGTGCCTTATTCCGCTACAAGGTTGACAAGGGACGCAATCTCCCCGAGACTGAAAGTATGTTATACCAAATGATGTGCTTCACGGGGGAGCCGTTTCGCGCGAAGCAGCTCAACGTCTCTCCGCTCGCGGCAGAATACTTTAACGAGAGATGTACGCGTCTCCCATCGATTCTTTTGACTCGATTTGATGATGTTTTCCCCTCCAAGGCGAGTTGAAGCTTGAGCCGGAGATGTTGGACGTGTGCATCGAGGCGCAGATGACGTTGTGGAACGTCGTGCCCGAAGACCTCATAGACGACGCTGGCGCGTTCCTGCGGAGATGTCTGCATCTTGATCCGGACGAGCGGGCGACGGCGGAGGAGTTGTTGAGCGATTCATGGCTTGTTGACGCGGAATAATATGCCCGCATACTAGAGAGAATACGCCCTTGATAGATAGATAGATAGGTATGCGGATGATTGATGAATTACTACTCTACTCACCATTCAGATCCGGCGGGTGAACTGGCCGTCTTAACGCGCACATTATCTGGTCAAGACATACCTATCAATTTATTACAGTACATCTCATCAGCTCATGGCTCAACACCCGCGCAAGAAGCAGAGGACTACGAATACCACAAAGACTGTCAAGCCACTGGGGTCCTTCGCCGGAGCTCACGGATGAAAACAGCAAGGAGAGGAGACTTGAGAGCCTGCTTTTTGGCATTCATATGGTCCACCTGATAGGGAACAAGCTAACTTTCTGACAGTGTCCGATGGCGAGGGTGAGGTTGAGAACACTGGAGAGAAGCTGCGAAACGTGCTGGATTCCCACGTGTGCATTCTCCCTGCGACTGTAACGGCCAGATTGACGCTTGCATTATAATACTTCTTCATCGATGATGCCCCTCCGCATGCCGGGCCAACGGTAGTCGATGCAGCGATGAACGGTGTAGAGCTGGCATCCGGCGGAGGCTCTGCGGATGGTTCGGATGCGGAAGATACGCATCAAGACGAAAGCCGTGGGGAGGACGCTGCTTCGGCAGATGAGGATGGCTCGACACCCACGATACCAGTTTGCCCCGATTGTTGAACACTCTGTGAGCCACTAAATTTATGGTCTTCAGTTTTCGCTTTAGGCAGGGGAGAGCAGGGCCCGTCGAAATGCTCCACATGTCGCGTCCTTCCTCACTCTCCCCGCTCCGCGCTGACCCGATTTTGACTGGGACTCAAGGCTCAAGAGCATACCTCCCTACTGACGAAAAGCAGGAGAAAAAGAGACAAGAACTCATGACGGCCAGCGCGAATCCAAGTTCTGATCAGAGAAAATAAGCTAAATCTGGCATTTTGGATATTTGGCTATATATTACGTAATTTGACCCTTCTCCTGCGTGCCACACCTGGCGCAACGTTCGTCCTACCTACCACATCAAACTCACCGTTCACAGCCTCGGTCATCCATCTGACGCAGGCAACTACACCCTCGCTACGGGCAACGTGCGTATTCATCGCTTGAAACAATCACTCCATGGAAGTTATTTAGATTCGCCTGCGATACACTGTCAGATTCATTACTCCAATCACCAGGCAAAACACTCACCTCGCAGTTTTTTGGATTCAGCAGAATGCTTCTCGGAAATCTGCAACTCTTTCACGACCGTTTCCAACACGATGTTTGGCTTTAACAGCAATACCACGCGCGTCTCATCCTCAGCACCTCGCCCGATTCTCTGACATCCCATACTCGTCGCGCACAGCACGCGGATTTTCCGTGACGAAGGTCCTGCATGCTTATCCTTGTTGCTGGCATACTCGTCCTCCATGGTCTTTGGGTCGAAGGGCACGTCATAGAAGTTGCCAATTACTTCTATGTCGCAAGAAATGACGCGTTCTCCTATGACCTTCCGTATCTCGAGAGCGGCAAGGACAATCGACTTAAGCTTGCCTCCATATTGGTTCTTCAGAAGTTGTCCGAGGCATTCCGGACCCAGAGCGGACCCAGAGGTCACCACTACGTCCGTTACGCCTCGAACGAGGTAGTTCTGGACCACTGTCACGGTGTCTTCCTCCTTGGACAGTGTGTCGAGATAACCTCTGCTGAGAGCGCGCCAGCGACCGAATACAGTTTGGTTCTCTAACATGTGATGTACGACGTCAGTATGATCCCAGACGATCCTCGTTGGTCAACTCACCGCCGCGCCTGAGCCGCAGATAGATTTCCTGGAAAATGTTTTCATGCTCCTGATTTGTGAAACTCCATGCTGCAATAACGTTGTTGAGACGAGACACGAACATCGCCTGCAGCGCAATCTGGACACAGATGGGATCTTTGTGGTGTGGCTGCTCAAGAAGGAGAACAACCATGGATCTGCCCACGAAATGCTCTGTGTCCCCCACTCCCTTCGCCCCCGGACCTGCAGCGCGTCTCTCGGGTCTATATTCCAATGTCCCCGCCAATCGGGCGGCCATCTGGAATATCTGTGAGTTCAGGGCCTCGAGAGATCCGACCACATCCGCATCCGAGACACCGTCGTTTTTGCCTAGGTACTTTTGCGCATCCTGCAACTCCGCGGTCCTGGTTTGCAGCAATTCTACCGTGAGCTCATGCTTCTTCTGTGCGGTTGCAAGTGCATGACGGGACTCCTGTCGAGCCTGCTCCTCCCGCTGAAACTCCTTTTGAAGCGCCCGAAAATGCTCCTCAAGGTTTTGAGTGATTTGTCGTAACTGAGCACGATCTTCGTTCAGCTTCTGGAGAGTTTTTTCGGCCTCCGTCAGCTTTGCCGCCGTCCCTTGGCTGTCCTCCTCTGCGCGTTGAGCGCGTCCCCGCCCAGACACATGCGCCTGCGAAGTCCCGTTTCGTGGGTCCTGCTTGGGAGCGTTGGCCTCCTTTTGAGTAAGAGTAACCTCCATGGATGGTCCTCTACTGTGTGGCATAGACAAAGCACTGCCCGACACGTCCTGACTGTCCTGCATCAATACGTTGGGCAAAATGCGACAGAAGAGGGCGTACAGCTGGTAGAACATGAACAGACCGAATGTACGCTGCTGCGCAGTCGTCCTGGTACGTGTGCGCGGAAGTTTCCGTGCAGCACTTTTCGGCTCGGAGTTTATTTCAATGCCTAAAGTGCTTCCTCGAGCTCGCTTCCACTGCAGCATTCGCCTCGTGGCTGCTTTCTCAACTTGAACATTCTCAATGGAGGCTCTTCGCTGCTGTCTTCAAGACCGACTCTGTATGCAACGGCACACCACGTTGACTAGGTTGGATAGGTCATCGCTGAGAAGCAGTCCCACTCAGGCAACGAAGGTTCAGTTGCTGTTGATGAGCAATGCAACTGGCAATGACGTTCCCATTTCAGTGACTTACCTGTTTCAGCCTCTGACGTCTCTCGTTCTTCTCGGCTTGAGCAACCAGAGAGGTTTCTGATTCGTGCTTGATGCTTCGGGACCCGTTGTCCAGTGTCATATATGCCCAAGCGGCATGTTGGCACTGTACCCTCACTTCCGAGACGTCTTTCCTCTAAGTCGCGATGTCTCCTCTTCAGCCGTTCCGCGGATTTCAGCGAAAGCTTGTGCTTGCGTTCGACGTCGGCACGACTTTCAGTGGAGTTTCATATGCCGTGCTAGACCCGGATGAGATACCGGAGATACAAAATGTCACCCGGTAATGGGCTCGTTACATGTATCCCAATCCAATAGCGCTGATGCACTTGATAGTTTCCCCGGCCAGGAAAATGCTGCGGGGGACTGCAAAATTCCCTCCATCCTCTACTACAGTCAGGATGGTACAGTTCGTGCTGCAGGTGCGGAAGCTGCGCTCCCGGGAATGGATCTGCAGGCCGAAGACGAAAACCTCATCTATGTCGAGTGGTAGGTTACTTGAGGCACCAATTTAGACGTGTGCAGTGGTCTAACCGCTTGGTCAGGTTTAAGCTTCATCTACGCCCGAGTTCGTTGGCCCCAGATGATCTGGATGCCGTCATTGCACGGCCTTTACCCACTGGCAAGACTGCAGTGGACGTATTTGGAGACTTTTTAGCCTATTTATACTCATGTGCCCGAAAGCACATCACGGATTCCCATGCAGGAGGGGACCTGTTGCTGAGCTCGTTTGGAGATCGCATCGAGTTCGTACTTAGCCATCCGAACGGTTGGGAAGGGTTGCAACAGAGCAAAATGCGCCGCGCTGCTGTCCTGGGCGGACTGATCCCGGATACCGCAGCCGGTCAAGGCCGTGTTCACTTTGTAACGGAAGGCGAAGCGAGTATGTACTTCTGCATTCAGAAGGGCCTCGCCGCGAACTCTATGCAGGTAGTATTTTTTGTTCGTTTGATCGCATCATGGTCTGATTTTTTTGCCGCTGTCAGATCGGGCAGAATATACTGATCGTCGACGCCGGTGGGGGAACTGTCGACATTAGCGCGTACAAGTTTGTGACGGTGGCTCCGTTGTCGATGGAAGAAGTGGCCACGCCCGATTGTATGTTGCTATACAGCATTCTCATTCGCTTTGCGAGTATTCACCATTTCATAGGTATTCTGCAAGGTTCAACCAGAGTGAACGTACGAGCTCAAGCATTTTTGCAAGGCCAGTGAATTCTTTGCTCTTGCATCCGTCTGGTTCCCTGACCACACAGAATACACGACACAGATAAGCTGTGTGGTTCTTATTACGGAAATGAGGAGGATATCAAGACGATGATAAGGTATTTCGACAAGTACACGAAGCCCATCTTCAAGGACCGCAGTGAAGACTCGTATATCAAGTTCGGTTCGATGAGCTGCAACGATCCATCGTCAATATCCGCAGAGGACAGTTGCTTCTTACCGGGTACGCGCGGGCGATACGATATGTTCGAGATCGACATTGACTCACTTTCTGGTAGCGATGAGCTCGCTTCTTTCTTTGAGCCGTCCATTCGAGCAATCGTCAATGCTGTTGAAGGACAGCGTCGGTCTGTTAACGGTGGACTTAATGTGAGAGTCTCCCATAGCTACGTAGACAAACTGTGCTTTGTTGACAGCTGCTGTTTGCAGATGGTATTCCTCGTTGGTGGATTTGCGGCGAGCCCTTGGCTGTTCTCGCGATTGCAAAGCTCCTTGAGTTACTATGGCTTGACACTCGCCCGACCAGATCGTCACACGTAAGTGTATCACAATTATAAATTTATTTAGGATACTGACACCAAACACTAGGAGCAAGGCGGTGGCGGAAGGTGCTGTAGCGTTCTATCTAGAGCATTGGGTCTCAGTGCGAGTGATGAAGGTCACCTATGGGGTAGAATGCACTGTCGAATATGATGAAACCAATCCAGAACACCGTATCAGGCGCGGGCGCATTACTACCCGCCCTTCTGGTCGCCGTGCACTGGGAGACTCATTCTCAGTAATACTGAATAAAGTTAGTGCATGCCGATCCATCCTCACACGATTAGTCATCCAATGTTCGGTCTGACAGGGACGACGAGTGAGAGATAAGGAAGAGATGTACCGGAACTTCTTCAAGGAGTCACATGAGTCCACGACCCTTGACAGACTCCATACGTCGATAACTTGTTACAGAGGAACGACTCAAGACCCTCGTTGGACGGATCTCGAGCCAGGTAGGCACAATGCAAAACACATCGCAACTTGCCTGTAAATGTTCTTGCTCAGAGTCGTTTGCCACGCTCTGCACGGTGCAGGCCGATACTTCACGCGTTACCAAGGTCCAGCAACACGGACTCAAAGGTGTCTACTACACGCAGCACTACAAGGTCGTTCTGCTGTGCGGGCTTACGGAGCTGAAGGCGCAGATCAGCTGGATGGAGAATGTGCGTGTCCTGTGCCATGCGTGACAGGATCCTACTGACCATCGATCATATCCAACAGGGCGAGGAGAAACGGTGAGTTACATTCTTGCTATGGGAACGTGCCGAGGCTCGATCTGACATGCACAAACGTATAGCGGCCCCGCAACTGTGGTATATGACGATGATGCTGAAGCGATTCACTGAAAGGTTAGGAAGCTCTTCTCCACCCAAAAGCATTGGAGTCGCATGAGCCGACAGCAGCGATTCCAATGGTCTTCTCTGAAGTCTCTTGGTTGCACTGTTCTCGTCTCACGACAGGCGATTCCAATTATCTCTATAACTTCTAGCTTGTACTTTTCTTGTCTCATCGCACTGCGAAGTGCGACTGCAATGTGTTGATTTGATTGAAGTTATCCCTTCGTTATTTTACCTTGTAGGCGCTGAGGCTAGCGATGGTAAGAGTGACAAAAGGAGCGGCTGATATATACAAACAAACATCAACGCGCCCTTCGCAAGCTCTTTTTTTCACAGCTCGATTGTCGAAGAGACTACGCTTTTCCGTTCGCAGTTTCGTTAGAGGCACCTTTGGATTGTCGCTTAGGAGCGGACGCTCCATTGGCACTTGCAAGCCGTTTGCCTTCCAGTATGCTCATCAACCTTCGGCGGAAGCTCTAAATTGAGCATTAGCAGACGAGTTGGAATTACCTGCTCTTAACACAACCGTCAGTAAGGAATCCGCTGAAAATAAGAGGAAACTGATTCGTCTCCATTTCCGCAAACTTGAATACGCTTACGAGGACAAGCGAGACCCTGTGTCAACTCTCTCCCGATAGTACTTACGTACAAGCGTGCCCGCTCCACAAAGGTCAGTCTATCACATATTCAGCACGAAATTCTCGTATCCTAAAGATTGCCACAACCACATAAACGCATACACTTCAGAGCGCTTAATCTCTCCCAACTATTCCGCCACGTCCATCTCATCCTCGTCTTTCCCAAGCGCCTTGTCGAGGTCCTGGCCGATGTAACTCCGCTCTCCCTACGCCGTGAGCCAGTATTTGGGTGTCGGGTCTTCGCCCCACACCTCCTACTATGATTCGCGGCGACGACAGAAGCAATTATGATTGAATCTTCTGACAGGGGATTGGCCGAGATCCGCTTTTCGGACACCAAAGGAGGTGGTCTCGCGTCGATACGTCTTTTGATAGGTTGGTTAGCCCCCCACGTCCCCATCGGCTATATTGTACTCAAACGCAGAGCAGTCATCTGCCGAGCACTGTTAAAGCTCAACCAGTCATCAAATCGCCATTTTAAGGCAAGAAGGGTCAAAAACTCGCATGCGACTCATGAGCGATGTTGGCGGGTGCACCGTGAAGGTCTCTGGGCGACTGCATCCGGGTGTGGCAGGCCCATTAGCGCAATTATAGGACAGCCCGACAACCTCCTCAACCCCTTTGCAGGTGCTCGGTTCACGTGGGGGTTGCGGGTTTCAGTTCAAAGTGTAGCAAGGACGTAGAAGGTGCCCGCAACAGCGACCATGGTCGTAACGAAAGCTGCGAGCATGATCGTGCTGTCCATGCCGTCTGGTTCATCTGCAGTGCTTCAGGTTCAATGCGAGCATCACCTCTATGTGTGTCATGCTCATCATTCGTCAACGATTTATACAAACGCAGTTCATCCATCACCGTATCGGAATCGAAGGTTCTAATACGTGAGTAGTGATTTGCATCGCTAAACTGAGCCCTTGCGCAACGAAAGATTGCATCAGCGATAGGACAGTCACTGCGTCATCATACGTGCATGCTGGAGTCGATGACCTGACATTTTCTCCAAGAGGAGGCTGTCCGAAGAATACTACCACATCAAGATACAGCGACACGGACTTTAGCTCAATAGGTCATCATTTCTTCCCGTTGCCCTACGGGTAGTGACCATTAGTGGCCATCGTCATATCTCGAAGACAGCTCGTCTCACCTTCCTTGGACTCTCGACCGGATGCGCTGTGAGTATCAAGCTCGTGCAAAACGTTGTCCGAGACAACTCGGGATTTCAACAGCAGTATCGTGTCCAACTTGTTCTCTTCGCCAACCTTGGCTACACGGCATAAGCCCATTCCAGTGTTGCAGAGAATGACCGGCGACGGTGCATCCCCGATGGTGTGTCCATCGCCATATTCATCATCCATGGTCTCGAGGTTGACTCTCTGGCCAGGCTTGGCGATCATCAATTGGAATTCGCAGGCAGTTATATCCTCGACGACAGTCCTCTGCAGCGAAAGTACATGGTCGAACACATTCGTGATCTTGTCGCTGTACTTGTGGATGGCCTCTTTAACCGTCTTCTTCGTCAGTCTGACCAGGTACAGGATGTTTTCCAAATGTGCCGCACACTCTCGTGCGAACCACAATGCCGCTTGATGTGTATCCCGTGCCGCCAAGTGCCGCATGGTCAGCGCTCGCCATCGTCCGGCCACAGTCTGACATTCTATGTAACCGTTAGTCTCAATGAAAGTCAATGAGAGCATGGCCGCTCACCCTCAACCTTCATTTTCCCCCACAGTTCGTACATCAAATTCCCTGAAGCTTGTGGAAGCATAAAAGCCCATGCGCGCGTAAGCTTGCTTGCGAGGTGTATGATGCAGCTTTGCATTGCGACTTGTATGAGCATCGGTTCGTCTCGTCCCCGTCCCTTTCTTAATTGTTTTGTCAACAAGGAGCCAATCGTATTCTCAGCCCGCTTGATCATGTCGTCGGATGGAGCGGTTGAAACGGATGTCGACGATTCACAAACATGGACAATCTGTGCCGCCAACTGGTATATCTCCTCGTTGAGGTTCTCTACGATGTGTCGTACATCGGCGTCCGACACCGTGTTCCCGACAGTTGTGTGATAAGCATTGGCTGCACGCAGCTCGTCGGCTCGAGCCTGAGATAAAGCCCTGGATGCATTGAGCTCATTCATCAGGCCTTCAATTTGGCTGTTTCTGAGAACCAGTTCATTCTGGAGGGACGATATCCTTTGATCTCTGTCATACAGGGCACGGCGCAACTCCGCACTTTCGTTGCGTAAGTCTGACGGGCTAGCAGGGTATTCATGGAGCTGTGAATTTTCGTGTGTATGCTTCCTGCTAGCCTCCTTCGGAAGAGAACGCAAGTGTGCTTCCTGTTCCTGCGAGAAAGGTAAGTCGGACGATTGACACATTCTTTCCGACTCGCATCTCTCCAACGGGGCCATCGACAATGGTTCTGAAGCTTGGATCGAACCGTTTCCGTCTTGTAATGTTTCACTCGGCAACATGGTGGGATCTGGCTCTTGTGATCGAAAAAGATCTGCCACCGTCTTCCGAGCTTTACCATACAATGTGCTCATCACTGCCAACAGTAAGCCATTTAAGTGGCACAGGTCCAATCTAACATACCCGAAACGTAACGTGAAAAGCAGGATCCGTTGTCAACGAACTGGGTTTGCACGAGTAAGGTGTAAAGGTAATCCTGAGTCGTAGTAGGACGGCGTTGCGAGAGTAAAGCCTTGCGGTCGCAGCGCAACCCGAGTCAGCCTTACAACGCATGGCCTGTCACATGAAATAGAAAAGAAGTCGCGATGAGTACGCTGATTTTCATGGTTGCATTACTAAGATATGATGGTTTCCCGAGGCTACGCCGATGGCGCACGCGGTACTATCCTCCTGCTTCGTAGTGCCATGAGGCCGTACACGACTCCCGCGCGTGCAAGACACAGTATGTTGCTACTCAACGTTTAACCTTCAGGTTCGACTGGCCTCATTCCCACCTTTTGGTTCATTCTCTCGGGATGGCATCCAGAAAGCCATACTTCGGCAAGTGCAGGAAGCTGGTACTCTCACTGGATATTGGGACCACCTTCAGCGGCGTGAGCTATAGCATCCTCGATCCTGGAGAGATCCCTAGAATCAATGGGGTCAGAAGGTACGGGTTTCTACCTTTCGCACCACGGGGGTTTCTTTCTTGAAAGACGTAGGACTATGATGACACTATTTCAGGTTTCCTGGACAGGAGGGCACTGCTAGTGATTCAAAGATCCCGTCTGTTGTGTACTATGACAAAGAAGGAGGAGTTCGTGCTTGTGGCGCGCAGGCAACACTATCCCATGTACTTCTCGAAGCGGAGGATGAGAAATGGATTAAGGTGGAGTGGTAGGTCATTTCTACCTCGCAGTATATCACTGTTACAATGCATGCTTCAGGTTCAAACTCCACCTTCAGTCGCACAATGAACTGGCAGCGTTCAGCGATGAAGAAATGAAGTACAACTTCATGACGCCTGTCCCGCCCGGCAAGACAATCATTGACATATACGCTGATTTTGTTTCGTATTTGTACAGATGCACCCGATCGTATATTGTTGAGACGCATGCCGGAGGAGATGTCCTCTGGAAATCAGTAGAGGGAAACATTGATTTTGTTTTTAGCCATCCCGATGGTTGGGGTGGCTGGCAGCAAACCAAAATGCGCCATGCTGCTGTGCAAGCAGGTCTCATCCCAGACAGTTTGGAAGGCCATGCTCGAGTCCAATTTGTGACGGAAGGAGAAGCAAGCATTCATTATTGCATCGCCAGTGGCTTAGCCATTGATTCTATCAAGGTTAGTATGCCATCTTAATTCACATGAGACTACTCAATGTCCAGATTGCTAGGATGACAAAACCGTCATGATCGTCGACGCCGGAGGAGGAACCGTGGATATTAATACATATCAGATAGCAAACGATGACACACTGTCTATGGAAGAGATTGCTCGACCGGAATGTGCACATCTCCGCATATTGTGCCATATCCGTCTAATCTTAACTTCAGGTATCTTCCACGGATCGACTATTGTCAGCTTTCGTGCGCGGGACTTCTTAAAACGTTTGCGGTGATGAATCCTCTTCATATTGCTTGTGTTTAATAATCGAGTAGTAAAGCTGTCCAAATCCACTTTTGGCAACGATGAGGACATTGAAGAAATGTTCAAGCAGTTTGACAAGTCTGCGAAGCCGACGTTCAGCAGCCCTGGTGACTCAGTCTTCATCAAATTTGGGTCCATGCGGGATAGAGATCTCAAAGCTGGCATCAGGAACGGGCAGCTAGCTCTGTCCGGGTATGTGGGATAACGCATTATTACATACTGGAGCTTACGTCGGTATACGCCAGAGACGAAGTTGCCTCATTCTTTGAGCCATCCATATCGGCTATCAAGCAAGCTATCAAGAGGCAGTTGGACGAGGCAGAAAAACCAGTATCGGTAACAGAGCTGCCGAACATTCCGTGAACGTAGGCTGAATGTGATCTGCAGACTGTCTTCCTTGTCGGAGGATTTGCTGCCAGCCCTTATTTGTTCTCTCAATTGAATGAATACTGCGTAACCCTCTGTGTCGCATTTTCAAGGCCGGACAACCATACGTCTGTATTCACCGTTTCTGCGTATCACTAACGAATAATGCAGGCTGACGTCCGAGCAGGCATAAAGCAGTGGCCGAGGGCGCCATATCATATTACCTCGACCACTTTGTCTCTGCTCGTATTGCTCGCTTTACATACGGGACCGATTGCGTGACTGACTATGACGCTGCAAATCCTGAGCACGCAAGGAGGTCTAATAACGTTCATTCGAATGCCTCTGGCCGACGGGTGGTTGGTCCATGTTTTTCAACTATTCTCGAGAGGGTGATATCTTCGAGTCGTGGAACCTACCTTTCATCACTCGTCACTCATTTCAAGTTCTTTTCAGGGAACCAAAATATCCGAGGAGGCTGAGTTCGAGAAACCTTTCATCCAAGAATCACTGTACTCCTATAAACTTGATACTATCGAAGCGGATATCCTCCGGTACAAGGGATCCATGAAGAATCCGCGATGGACCGACAGCGAACCCGGTATGTTAGTTGGTTCACCGTGGATGTTGTCCTCACTCCACGATGATAGACATGTTTTCGAAGTTGTGCACGGTAACCGCAGACACGTCTAGCGTTCCGAAAATGCCCGTATTGGGAAAGACGGGCATTTATTATAAGCAAAAGTATCGTGTTGTGCTGTCGTTTGGTCTGACGGAATTGAAGGCGCAGTTAAGTTGGATCGAGAATGTATTGACTGTCAACTTCTTCCGATTGACGCAACAGCTGATGCTAATTTTTGGTGTCTAGGGGGAGGAACGAAGGTGGAACATCCGGTTCGCCCTTGCTCGAGATGGTTGTACTGACATCACCTAGGGGTCCTGCTACGATTGTCTATGACGACGAACTCGCGATTCAGTAGTCATGCAATATGAACGCACAGCGCCTAGGCTGCCGCGGAGATGTAGTACACTGCGTTGAAATGATTAAGGTGGCCTTGAACAGGAGGAAATGTATGACTACTGACTGGGTTCAGGGGGGGTGGGTTAGCAGAACGAGGGCAAAAACGTGCTCATGCGTATCATATCTTCATGTCTATGTATGCGGCTCGGTCACCACAGGAGCGACGCACTGTTTTCAGGTTCCTTTCTTCGGATTGCGTGCCGATGTGTCAATGTACATGGTAATCCTTGTCCACAATTATGAGCGAAAGTTACGGCTAAGAGCAGCCCATCGTCGACATGAGCATACCACCAAGCTTTCTAACAGAATGAGTGAAAGTTACGGCTAAGATTAGCCTCATCGTCGACACAAACTGAACAAATTATCATCATTGCGATAGCAGTCAACGTCGTCGAATACGCTCATGGTATCATTACATCGGAATACATACTACGACATTCTACATCTAACCGTTCTCATCCAGCAATCCGTCCAATGCGTCCACGGGAGGCGGCTGCTATGCCACCCCCATCATCACATCCCCATCAACACCATCTCGCTCTTGCCCCGTCCATCCCAAAATATTCTCCGAGACCACCCTCGGTCTAACGAGCATCACCTCCGCGCGCCGCACCTCACGCTCATGCTCGCCTCTCTCAAAGTCCACGCGTGCAAGGCCGAGCGCGGTCATGCCTAGGATAGAGACGGCTGCGGCGGCGCCGTCCATGTCCACGTCCACGTCCGCGTGGGCGCATTCGTCTTCCATCGTCTCTGTGTCCACTAGCCCGTCCCCATAGGCGTCGGGGACTCGTACTTCGAAGTAGGAGGCACGCCAGCATTGGACTGTTTTCGTGTTCTTCGGCTGTGTCGGTTCTTTCTGCGTTTTGCTGTTCTCTTGTTGTTGTTGAGGCGCTTTCGCTTTGGGCTGTTGTTCGGCCTGAGGTGGTGCAAGCTCGTCCTCCGGGATGACATCTTCCTCTGGGTTCTTGCTTATACCCTCCGACTTCTCTCTCTCCGTTTCCTTCTCTTCCTCGTCCCGATTCTTCTGCGGCTCCTCCTTCTCTCCGTCCCCGGTGTTCTCCTCACCATCTGCTGTGCTCTGAGCTTCTTCGGCGTCCTTCTCCTTACCTTTGCCCTTCTCTTGGACCTGCTCGTTTCCGCTATCATGCCCCCTTTTGTCCTCCGGCGCGACGTCGTGTCCCTTCTCGATCTCGCGTCCGTCGTCACCATGCGTCTTCTCTCTCTCCTGGCTGTCCATCGTCTCAGCCAACGACTGAGCTGCCTCGTCATCCAAGGTCGCCTCGTCCACCCCAATATCCTGCGACTTCGAGCCTTCCTCTGCCTCCTGCTCCTTCACCACCACCTCCACCTCCTCACTCGCATCCGCCCCCATAACGCCCAGCGCCTCCCTCAACGCGCGCGCATTATCCAGCAGACTCGCGAGCGTCCCGCGATACCGACTACAGAACAGCCGCGTGAACGCCTCGGGGACGCCCGCGAGGAGCATCACGGCCGCGACGGACGCGGCGAGGAGGTGCGACGGGGTGTGTGCGGGCGAGAG